TCCTGTGCACCCAATCCTGCACCCTGCCGGCTCCATCCCACGGACCCCTACACCCCAGATGAAGCCAAAGCCCCCTGCCCCGAGCCCAAACGACTGGAGCCAGCCCAGACCCCTACTGGGTGCCCCCAGGTCCTGGGACCAAACCCTTAGAGCCAGCCCAGAGCCCTACTGGGTGCCCCCTGGTCCTGGGACCAAACCCTTAGAGCCAGCCCAGAGCCCTACTGGGTGCCCCCTGGTCCTGGGACCAAACCCTTAGAGCCAGCCCAGAGCCCTACTGGGTGCCCCCTGGTCCTGGGACCAAACCCTTAGAGCCAGCCCAGAGCCCTACTGGGTGCCCCCTGGTCCTGGGACCAAACCCTTAGAGCCAGCCCAGAGCCCTACTGGGTGCCCCCTGGTCCTGGGACCAAACCCTTAGAGCCAGCCCAGAGCCCTACTGGGTGCCCCCTGGTCCTGGGACCAAACCCTTAGAGCCAGCCCAGAGCCCTACTGGGTGCCCCCTGGTCCTGGGACCAAACCCTTAGAGCCAGCCCAGAGCCCTACTGGGTGCCCCCTGGTCCTGGGACCAAACCCTTAGAGCCAGCCCAGAGCCCTACTGGGTGCCCCCTGGTCCTGGGACCAAACCCTTAGAGCCAGCCCAGAGCCCTACTGGGTGCCCCCTGGTCCTGGGACCAAACCCTTAGAGCCAGCCCAGAGCCCTACTGGGTGCCCCCTGGTCCTGGGACCAAACCCTTAGAGCCAGCCCAGAGCCCTACTGGGTGCCCCCTGGTCCTGGGACCAAACCCTTAGAGCCAGCCCAGAGCCCTACTGGGTGCCCCCTGGTCCTGGGACCAAACCCTTAGAGCCAGCCCAGAGCCCTACTGGGTGCCCCCTGGTCCTGGGACCAAACCCTTAGAGCCAGCCCAGAGCCCTACTGGGTGCCCCCTGGTCCTGGGACCAAACCCTTAGAGCCAGCCCAGAGCCCTACTGGGTGCCCCCTGGTCCTGGGACCAAACCCTTAGAGCCAGCCCAGAGCCCTACTGGGTGCCCCCTGGTCCTGGGACCAAACCCTTAGAGCCAGCCCAGAGCCCTACTGGGTGCCCCCTGGTCCTGGGACCAAACCCTTAGAGCCAGCCCAGAGCCCTACTGGGTGCCCCCTGGTCCTGGGACCAAACCCTTAGAGCCAGCCCAGAGCCCTACTGGGTGCCCCCTGGTCCTGGGACCAAACCCTTAGAGCCAGCCCAGAGCCCTACTGGGTGCCCCCTGGTCCTGGGACCAAACCCTTAGAGCCAGCCCAGAGCCCTACTGGGTGCCCCCTGGTCCTGGGACCAAACCCTTAGAGCCAGCCCAGAGCCCTACTGGGTGCCCCCTGGTCCTGGGACCAAACCCTTAGAGCCAGCCCAGAGCCCTACTGGGTGCCCCCTGGTCCTGGGACCAAACCCTTAGAGCCAGCCCAGAGCCCTACTGGGTGCCCCCTGGTCCTGGGACCAAACCCTTAGAGCCAGCCCAGAGCCCTACTGGGTGCCCCCTGGTCCTGGGACCAAACCCTTAGAGCCAGCCCAGAGCCCTACTGGGTGCCCCCTGGTCCTGGGACCAAACCCTTAGAGCCAGCCCAGAGCCCTACTGGGTGCCCCCTGGTCCTGGGACCAAACCCTTAGAGCCAGCCCAGAGCCCTACTGGGTGCCCCCTGGTCCTGGGACCAAACCCTTGTCCGGGCTCTATGGAAGTCTCGGGGCTGGGGGCAGGGGTCTGGGGTGGGGGCAGGGGACTGGGCTGAGGGCAGGGGTTTTGGAAGACGCTGGGCTATGGGGGAACAGCCCTCCCAGGTAGGAGCCGGCCCCGCTGACCCCCTCCCCGGGCGCGGATGAATTTTGGGGGACGGGGGGGCGATGCCGGGAGCGGTTGACTGAATTCTGTCCTTCCTCCCTCCCCAGGGCTGCGGGCGGCCGTGCAGCTGGTCGAGTCCGGAGGGGGTCTCCAGCCACCCGGGGGGTCTTCACCTTCAGCAGCTACGCCATGTTGTGGGTGCGACAGGCACCTGGGAAGGCGCCCGAGTGGGTCGCAGCTATTAGCAGCGATGGTAGCGGCACATTCTACGCGCCGGCGTTCCAAGGGCGCTTCACCATCTCCAGGGACAACTCCCGGAGCACGGTCACGCTGCAGATGAACAGCCTCCGGGACGAGGACACGGCCACCTACTACTGCGCCAGAGCTGATGCTGCTGGTGGCACCGACCCCGGCCGGCCCTGGCCCAAACATCCCTGCCCGGGGGCTCCACATTCCAGAATCTTCCCAAAATCCCTGCACAGAGCCAGGATTCTTTGGGCCATTTGAGAACCTCGTTGTGCTCTTCCCCCATTTCTCAGCGTTTTCCCAGAACCCCTGCCCCCACCCTGGACCCCTGAATCCATCCCAGACCCTCGCCCCGAGCCTCCACCCTCTGCACCCACAGAATCACAGAATCAGAGAATGGCAAGGGTTGGAAGAGACCTTGGGAGATCACCCAGTCCCACCCCCATGCTCAAGCAGGTTCTCCTAAAGCATGCTACACAGGACTTCATCCAGGAGGGGGTTGAAGATCTCCAGAGAAGGAGACTCCACAGCCCCCCTGGGCAGCCTGGGCCAAGGCTCGGGCACCCTCAAAGTCAAGAAGTTCTTCCTCATATTCAACTGAACCTTCTTATGTTTCATGTTATGTCCATTGCCCCTTATCCTGGCACTGAGCACCGTTGAGATGAGCCTGGCTCCGTCCTCGTGACCCCCAGCCCTTGAGATATTTGTACGTGTTGATGAGATCCCCTCTCAGCCTTCTCTTCTCCAGGCTGAACAAGCCCAGCTCCCTCAGCCTTTCCTCCTAGGGGAGATGCTCCAGTCCCTTCATCATCCTAGTTGCCCTCCTCTGGACTCTCTCCAGGAGTTCCTCATCTTTCTTGAACCAGGGAGCCCAGAACTGGACCCAGAGCCCCAGCTGGGGTCTCACCAGGGCAGGGAAGAGGGGGAGGAGAACCTCCCTCGCCCTGCTGGCCACGCTCCTCTTCATGCGCCTCAGGATGCCCTTGGCCGTCTTGGCCACCAGAGCTCCCTGCTGGCTCATGGCCACCTTGTCGCCCACCAGGACCCCCAGGTCCCTCTCAGCAGAGCAGCTTTCCTGCAGCTCAGCCCCCATCCTGTCCGGGTGCATGGGGTTCCACCTTGCTGGGGGTCCCCTCTGTCCCCTCATCCAGGCCATGGATGAAGAAGATGAACAAGACCCGGACGAGCACTGAGCCCTGGGCAGCCCCACGAGCTCCCAGCCTCCTACCAGACCCTGCCCCGCCGATCAGAACCCTCTGAGCTCTGCTCTGCAGCCAGTTCCTGACCCACCTCACTGTCCACTCATCCAGCCCACACTTCCCGAGCTTCCCTACGAGGATGTTATGGGAGATGGTGTCCAACGCCTTGCTGAAGTCAAGGGAGACACCACCCGCTGCTCTCCCCAGATCCACCCAGCCGGTCATGCCATTGTAGGAGGCCATCAGATTGGTCAGGCATGAGTTCCCCTTGGTGAATCCATGCTGGGTACCCCTGATGATCTTCCTTTTCTCCACTTGCTTGGAGAGGAGACCCAGAATGAGCTATTCCATCACCTTTCCAGGGACAGAGGTGAGACCAACTGGCCTGTAGTTCCCTGGGTCCTCCTCTTGCCCTGTTGAAGACTGGAGTGACATTGGCTATCCTCCAGTGCTCAGGCACCGCTCCTGATCTCCAGGACCTTTTGTAGATGATGGAGAGTGGCTCAGCAATGACGTCTGTGCTTCCTCCCTCCCGAGGGTTGTGGGCGGCCGTGCAGGTGGTCGAGTCCGGAGGGGGTGAACAGAAACCCGGGGGGTCCCTGGCCCTCCTCTGCCAGGCCTCCGGCTTCACCCTCAGCAACCACTACATGCAATGGGTGCGACAGGCGCCCGGGAAGGGGCTCGAATACATCGCGTATATCAACAACGGTGGTGGCGAATACTACGCGCCGGCTTTCAAAGGGCGCTTCAGGATCTCCAGGGATGACTCCCGGAGCACGCTCACGCTGCAGATGAGCAGCCTCAGGGACGAGGACACGGCCACCTACTACTGCGCCAGAGAAACTTATAATATCAGCCCTGACCCCGGCGCCATGCCCCAACACCTCTGCCCTGGTCCCCAGATCCCAGAATCTTCC